ATACTTTAGAAAATCTTTGGCATATAACAGCAGATGATATTTAAAGCCATCACCAAGGAAGTGAGATGGAGTAAAGAAGAGATCTGAGGACTGAGCCCCGAGGTCAGGAGATGTGAGTACTGAGTGAAGGCAGTGAATTTCACAGTCATGCGCAAATCGGGCTTCGCTGGGGAAACTGGGAAGCGGAGGACCACCAGCTGAATGAGACGTTGGGTCCAATCTCTTGTCATCATGTGGAGAGAGGTGCAGGGGTCAGGGCATAGCTGGAAACACCCTGGAGTGTGCTCCAGGAGGGGGACCCCCCACTTGCTATTTTACTTTTTTATAAGCAAGTGTGAGGTCAGTCTTGCAAGGAGAGAAAAACTGGTCTCAACTCAGGTACCAGGGGAATTGCTTGTAGTGCTGAGGGCACCTGGAGACACTGGGAAATGGAGACCATGTTGAATCATTTCTGCTTTGGGGAAGGGAGTCCCCTGTGGAGCCCACCTGCTGTCTCATGGCTAGAACCTGGAGGGAGCCCCCAGGGCCATCCAATACAATCCAAATTGTTTTCCAAGGTCCATCCTCTGATCTAGGGGCTCATCAATCATAAGCCTGCCCAGTAGGGATAGAAATCAACAGGGATAGAATAAACAACAGGGGTAGAAATCAACGGGGCTTATAATGGGATTTCCAGTGTTTGTGGGCAATGCTGGAGGAGACACTATAGAAGGAGGGAGGCCTGGAGTAATAGTCCAAAGCCCATGATGGAAGCCTGAGCCATCTGACCAGGGAGTCCATGCCAAGCCTGAGGAAAGAGCCTAAGATTCAGATAGAGGAATGGCCTGGAACCATGGGCCTTGCTCCCTCAGTAGCTGCATGGGCTTCTTGACTTGGCTGAAGGTGTTAACCTGGAAACAGCAGGGGACATTGTCCACCCTGGCTGCTCCCCTGGCTGGCCAGCAAATAGTCCAAAGCTGTGTGGTTACCCAGCATAACCTGAGCTCAGGGGTTGTGATAACCTTCTTGGCAGTGAGGACCCTGGCTGTCCCTGTAGTAACTTCCTTCAGGATAGCTGAGTGGTTGTGGCCCATGGTTCTACCATCTATGAGAGGAAAGCCTGCATAAAATGGTGAAATCTCTGTACTTAACACCTAGGAATGTCTTGTCCATGGTGCCAGAGGATGGGGCCCACAGGTCCTGGGTGATCATGAGGGCTCATATGCAGGTGGCATGATGTCCAAGGAGAAAGCAAGGAAGGACCCATACCCAGAGCATGAAACAGCCATGGGATACAAAGGGCATTGCTCAATATTCTATTTGTGGACCTCAACACCATCTGTGCAGGGGGTGGGAACAAGGTTGTGGAGGCCCAAGACACAGCAGTTGGTGGCTGTGGCCAGCTGGGAGCAATGCCCTTGCCATCGTCAGAGAGTAAGTCACTGATAAGGTCTCCTGTAGCTGGGTCCACTGGGCAGGGGTAGGGGTGGGGATATATTCAGTACTGTGATAGGTTCCTGCCGTGGGCCCTGGTTGGACAACTATTAGAGGCTGTTCAGCATTGCCTGTCCAAATCTGGGAGAGGAGGCGAGAGGTTATTTATCTCTCCCCCCTGGTCTGTTTCCTGAGATTGCTTGCATATGTTCTTGCTAGAGCAGCTGGGGCCTGTCACGCACCTGGGGGGAGCCAGATGATCTGTCCTTTCTTAGATCATTGACCTCCACAGGAACCCAGGAGTCACCATTCTACCTGACGTGTCAGGTGTGCCCTTCCTCCTCCTAGGTGCCCAGAAGATGATGGGAGAGTGGCTGATGTAATCGCTCCTTGACCCAGCCACACCAAGGCTTAATTGTAGGTGGCAAGTGTGGAGGAGCAAGCGAATTCCCTGTTGACAGGGCCCATAGCTGGGGGGCAGTGGCTGTAAACAGAGTTCCATTGTCCACTTGTATCATATCAGGAAATTCTAGCGCATGACGAAGGTGCTCATCAGAGCCTTAAGAATCCAGGTGATACCTGCTTGGTGGAAGAGAACAGCCAGCCCATAGGCTAAACCAGGTCTGTGGTGGTCAGAATCCACTGCAAACAATTTGCCAATTGTGGACTGGTCAGATCCCCAGGCCATTATGCAGCACCTTGAGCCACAGGCCAACATTTCTGGCAAGTAATACACACTCCGTGAGCACCAGTGTCTTCCTAGGTCAAATGGATCCTCATTGGGCCGCCTCAGGCCTCCATGATGGCTTTGCTATAGCGGTAGGTGCAGGTGTGGATCTAGGGCACCAAAGTGAATGTGATAGCCACAGAGTCTTGATCAGCTTTTTCAGTCCGGATGCTCTCTTCAAGATGCAGTGCCTTATGGTGGGCTTGTTCATATATCACATACAGATCGAGCTTGCGGCTGAACTGCTGTATCTGTTTCCACAGCAGGGGTTACCATATGGGTAGTCTCCTAATGGTCCAGTTCCAGGTGGTCCAATGGCCTGGCCGTACAGCAAGACCATTAGCAATGGCCTGTGAAGCTGGGTAAAAGGGACTATTTATAAAGGTGTGAGCAGGATATAGAGAACCCACGAAGATAGTGCAGTACCCCTGGGCTGGTAAGTGGGGGGATGCTACCACCCCTGAGCCCAAAGGGAACCTGGAAGAAGAAGGTCTTGCACAGAGAGCCTCACTGAGAGGAAGAGTGATCCTCCGCGAAGGGACCCAGCCAGCCCTAAACCAGCCTGAGGCAACCCCACAGAAGGGAGCTGGGAGAATAAGTACCTCCTCCTTCCCTCTGACCTCTGCCAGGGATCCCCATTGGCCAAACCCAACTGGAAGCCACAGGACAAAGGAACCTGATGATACAGTCCATGCAGGTTGGCCCCCTGGCAGAAAAGGCAGAAGAAGGAAGGAGAGTGGACCTGGAGGGGCAAATGGAAGGTATCTAACAGACAGGGAGGGTTGTGATTTTAAATATGGAGGTCATGGGAGTCCTCACTGAGAAGGAATCGTTTGCGCAAAGACCTGAGGGCATGTCCTAACTCAGCTAATCCTCACAACAGTCGAGGAAGTTGGTAGTGTTGAAATGGGTAGTCCCCATTTTACAGTGGAGGAAACTGAGATGCAGCAAGAATAAACAACTTTCAGTTGTCCAAGATCACACAGCTGGGAGTTAACAGAGTTGAGATTTAAACCCAGGCGATTAGGCTCCAGAGATCCTGCTCTTAAACAAAATAGGTTATGGAAGAGTCAGCATAAAATGAGAGGGCAGAGAAAATGTCAGGACACATAAGCCTGCAATCAACAATCATAGATGTTACTTATTGAGCACTGACTGTATACCAGCCGCTGTGTTGGGTGCCCTGGGGGATATACAGATGAACGTGATGCTGTGCTTTGCCCTTAAAGGGCTTATAATCTAGTTGGAGGGTGGGGAGGAAATACAGAAATGTGTACAAATCACATCCCAGCAGCTTGGGATACATGCTACCATAGAAGTACAGATAAAATGCTAGGAGATGGGCCGGCCCCGTGGCTTAGCAGTTAAGTGCGCGCGCTCCGCTACTGGCGTCCCTGGTTCGGATCCCGGGTGCGCACCGACACACCGCTTCTCTGGCCATGCTGAGGCCGCATCCCACATACAGCAACTAGAAGGATGTGCAGCTATGACATACAACTATCTACTGGGGCTTTGGGGGAAAAAAAAAAGGAGGAGGATTGGCAATAGATGTTAGCTCAGAGCCAGTCTTCCTCAGCAGAAAGAGGAGGATTAGCATGGATGTTAGCTCAGGGCTGATCTTCCCCACAACAAAACAAAACAAAACAAAAATGCTAGGAGAGCCCTAAGGAAAGAGATTCATTATGGCTGGGTTGAGGAAAGCTCTCCGGCGATGGTAGCTTTGGAAGAGTCACCTTGGTCCCACAGTGAGGTAGTGATCTCCTTCCCAACGCTCCTGGTGGAGAAAAGTCTCAGCTTGGTACTAGCGTGTCTTTCAAACTCAAACACTTCCTAATCTCCCTTTTTAACCCAAAATTCAGGCTCAGATCCTTCAGTGGGCAACCAAGCTCTAATGGAACTTAATAAAATTGTTGTGTTTTCATTGTCTTTTTTTTTTTGACCGTTATGTTCTATTTCAGGCAAATGATACTTTTTTTTTTTCCTTGAGGGAGATCAGTCCTGAGCTAACATCCGATGCCAATCCTCCTCTTTTTGCTGAGGAAGATTGGCCCTGGGCTAACACCTGTGCTCATCTGCCTCTACTTTATATGGGACGCCACCACAGCATGGCTTGACAAGCGGTGCGTCGGTCTACACCCGGGATCCAAACCTACGAACCCCAGGCTGCCGGAGCAGAGAGCGTGCACTTAACCACTACGCTACCAGGCTGGCCTGGCAAATGATTCTTTTTTTAATCTACAGATAAATTATTTATTTTATTATTATTTTCCTCTACAGATAAATTTATTTAAGGAAAAAATAGTCAATTTAAAGGGACAATATTGAGTTAAACATTCAGGTGGTTCATGGCTATGGCCAATATTACAAAGGTGGCAGACTAGTGACTGATGTTTAGGATACTCTGGCATAGGGTATGAAGCATGTGAGGGGGAAAAAAGGGGGAAGAAGGCTGGAAAGGGGGTCAGATCATGGAAGGCCTGAACACCACAGTAAGGAGTGTGGCTTTTATTCTGTCAACCATGGCAAGGCGTTAACTCAAGAACAGGCGATGAACGTGCCCAGAGCCGAGCTCGGCTGGGCTCTCTCTGGCCTCTGAGTGCAGGGTGAGGGGGAGACTGGAGGCCGGGACAGCACTGGGGAGGCCGTTGTAAGACTCAAGGTGAACAGGTATAGGGCCCTGGACCACGGTCAAGGTGGTCCAACTGAAAGAAAGGAAGGGCTAGATTCTAGAGCCCCCGTCAGGTGTGTCCTAGGGTGCTATCTGGCTGACCTGGGAAGGACAGATTTCTTTTCCAGAGGTGACCAACCTTTCAGCCTCCAGTCCTCCAATCCTCCTCTCCAGCGTCGTTTACTCAGAAAATTCAATAGTCTCTGACTGGGTTTTACTGAGTAAAGGTAACATCAGAAGAGGCCGGCCCACCCCAGTCTCTCCGACCTCGTTAGGGGGAATTGGAAGTGCAATCAGAGAAGATGGAGAAAATCGACTCATGCTTCCTGATTCTGTGTCTCCCCGTGGGAAAAGTCCGCCGTCGGCCTGACCTCTTGTGGCGATCCATTTTATTCCATACGATGAACATCTGATTTTCTAAGACCTTCAGCTTCATTTCACTGAACATAAGCCGTTCAAGGATCTTGTCCTGGAGGGCAAAGCACGTGTGCAGTCTCTCCACTTCTTTTGTGCTCATGACGTTACCGTAGGGTTTGGCTTCCGGGGTCTTTGATTTCTCTGCCTTTTCCTAAACTCCTCACCACCACGAAAAGAGGAAAAGTTGGTTAATAACGATAATCCCTTGCCATGCCAGGTGATTTATAAACATCACCTTAATTGATTCTCACAATCAGCCTGTGAGGAGAGCATCTTTGCCGCATTGTGTGGATGAGAGAATTGGGGCCCTGTGAGGGAAGGTCCCTTTCTCAGCGTCACCCAGCCTGTGAGAGAGCCCCCAAACTCCCAGGACCCACAGTTGCCTTTGGTTCGTAGGAATAAATGAAATAGCCCGCTAATCTGCTCTCACAGAAGACATAAAACCCTCAACCCAAACGTGTCTGTCTGTAGGGCTTGTGCTTTTCCCAGTGTGCCTCTCTGAGGGTTTCGTCACGCCTCATGAAATCTCCAACTTCCAAGCCTCGGTGGTCTCATGACATGCTCTAATCTCTATAATCCTCATCTGCCCCCAACACATTTAATAATAACAAACTTAATTTTTTTCTTTTTGGATTCAGCGACAAACTCCTGGTCTTTAAAATCATTTAAAAAATAAATATTTCAGACATCCAAAAAATGGTAAATATTACAACAAAGACCCAAGTTCTCACACCAGCTTAAGAAATATCACAAATGTAATTGAAGTCCCCTCTGGATCCCTGTCTTAGAATGTTCCCCTCCCTCCCTGAACCTCACTCATCTCAACTGCAATCCTGAATTTCGTATTTATTTTCTCTATGCATTTCTCTATACCAGTAGTTCTCAATGGGAGGCAATTTTGCTCTTCCCGGGGGACATTTGGCAATGTCTGGAGACATTTTGGTTGTCACAAAAGGGGTGAGGGGTGCTATTGGCATCATGTGGGCAGCGGCCAGGGATGCTGCTCAACATCCTACAATGCACAGGGCAGTCCTCACAACAAAGAATTATGTGGCCCAAAATATCAATTGTGTGGAGGTTGAGAAATCCTGCCTTAATATACTTTCACTGTACATATGCATCCAGAAACAAGGCAGGATATTGTTTTGTATGTTTTTTAACTTTATATAAAAGACGTCATACTCTAGGTACATGTCTGCTATCTTCATTATTCTATTTGAGATGTATCTATGTTATACATGTATGTTTAGTTCATCCATTTTAATTTTTTCCAGTTTAAAGTGGTTGTTACTGTTGCCAAAGCATGTTAACGTCAAACATGAAGTAGGAGAGTCTGGGATGGTCCCTATTTACACCGAGGCAGCTGAAGCCTTGTGAAGGAAGTGCTGCGTCCTCCAACACCCAGGAGGGGGCTGCAGGACAGGGCTTAGACCAGAGTCATGGATCCCTGAGTCTTGCTCCATTATCCTGACGTCTACTCTGTCTCCCCACCCCCCAATCTAGCTGGAAATATCCCACCACCCTCAGCTGAAGCTAAGGCCCCTGTTGCTCACCTGCTGGGGCTCTGAGGGGGTAAGCTTGAGTTCATACTTGACCAGCCAGTTGCTAAGCAACAGCAGAAGGAATAGGAACCCAAAAAAAGCTGCCTTATAGCTGATCAGCCAAGCCACCAATGCTCCTGTGGTGCCTGAGGAAGCAAGTATTCCGTGCAGAGTTCTAAAAAGAGACATTAGTTCCCCCAGCATTTTGGCTTGGAGGCACCCGGGCCCCAAGACCCTGCCTCAGTGCCCCTTCTAGGACAGTTGCCCTCCATGACAAGAGTCGTGGCTGCCGCCGCCTCTGAGTTATAACCAACTCCCCTCCCCCAGCTGCCGCATAACAATATTAACTACTCCTATGTGTTAGGCAGCCACTATGTGCTGGACTTTGACAGACAGTTTGTAAGCATCGCCTCACGTTGTCCTCACAACAGCCAGGTGATGTAGGCCTTAGTGATACTTCATTCATTCAACAGTACTTCTGGGCCTAGCCACTGGGAGTAAAATGGCCAGCACCACAAAGCCCCTACTCTCATAGTGAGGGAGACTGCAAAGAAAAATTATCCAAAATTTGAAAATAAGGCCAAAAGATTCTCGTTCACAGTCATACTAGAAGGTTATCTAACTGGCCCACCTGTTGGTCACCTGATGCTTTAGGGGAAGGTAGCTTTGATTTACTATTTAATATGATTAGGGTTTTGACTCTGTAAAGTCAGATGCTAACTTTTAAAAAAATGGATAAGTTGCTCTAGAAATTCCGCTTCTGGGTATATAGCCAAAAGAATTGAAAGCAGGGTCTTCAAGAGATATTTGTACCCCCATTTTCATAGCAGCAATATTCACAATAGCCAGAAGATGGAAGCAACCCCAAAATCCATCAACTGATGAATGGATAAACAAAATGTTGTATATACATACAATGGGAATTATTTAGCCTTAAAAAAGGAAGGAAATTCTGACACCTGCTACAACATGGATGAACTTTGAGGAGATTATGCTAAGTGAAATAAGCCAGTTACAAAAAGACAAAAGCTGTTTAATTCCATTTAAATGAGATATCTAGGGCCAGCCCTGTGGCTTAGCGGTTAAGTGTGCGCGCTCTGCTACTGGCGGCCCGGGTTTGGATCCTGGGCGCGCACCGACGC